GAAAGGAGGCAATGGCAAACCACTTCTGAAAAACCTTGCCAAGAAAACTGCAGGGACTTGTGGTTATGCGGGGATTTGGACATGTAGCTGAACACCTTCACCACAATATCACCTTGGTTCTTGGGCTGAGAGAAAGGGACTAGCCCAAAGTCTCCCTGGGAGCTTCCGTGGCTGACGTGGGACTGGGACCCAGGTATCCTCAGTCTTAGTCTAGTAACTTCACCACTAGACCATTATCTTGGTTCTCTCCTTTTTAACCAAGGAAAGTCGCTCATAAGGTAAGGCATGATAGTGGTATATAAATCAAAGCTTCATGTGGAAAAAAATGAATAGGAAGAAAAAAATTATTCCTGTCTTGTAACAAGGGACAGTGTTGTCCAGCAAAGCAGACTGTGAAAGATTTAGCACAGGTAAAAAGTACACCTCCTTCAGAAACAAGTTAGATAAATTATCAAATTTGCTACTAATGTAGCGATGACCATGAATTTGCATGGCTGTAAAAGGGGATTAGACAAATCCAGGGATGATAAAAACTATCAGTGGTACTACTTATGATTACTGTGTACAGAGATCTTTAGTATCAAGGGCAGTCTACTCTGAATAGTCTACTCTGCTCCTTGTTTTGTGGGGTGGCTGTAATCCCCTCGTTTGGCAGCCTATTGGAGATGCCTCACTTCACCTAGGCCTTCCCTTTGTGAATGTTATATATAATGTTTTTCTTTTTCCCCTCCTCTTTTTCTCCCTCACTCATATTTTAATGCATAGGTTTTTATAGTGCTTTTCCTTATTGCTCTAAATTGTATTAATTGACTGATCAGTCATCAACCAAATCAATGTTGACTGTTAGCAACCACATAGATAGATTGGCTCCAATCTGTCCCTAACCTGGTCCTTCAGGTCTTTCAATGATGCATCTATTGCCACTTAACTGAGTGCAAAATACATCGCTGCTGGTTGTCCTCTTTGCTTTCCTTCTGCTTTTCCTAGTATTAGAACCTTCTCCAGAGAGCTGGGTCTTCACATAATGTGTCCAAGTGAGAACTCTGTGTTGATTTGTTTGATGATCCATTGGTTCGTTTTCTTGGCCGTCCATGGTATTCTCATGAGTTTTCTCCAACACCAAAGTTCGGAAGCATCAATACTCTTCCTATCCTGTTTCTTCAAAGTCCAACTTGAGCTTCCATAGAGTGTCACAAGGAAAACCATTCCCTGCATGATTCTGATCTTTGTAAGTATAGACACATCACAGCATCTGAATATTTTTTCCAAGGCTTTCATAGCTGCTGTACCAGGTGCGAGGGTGCAATATATTTCTTGACTGCTTGTTCCTTTGTTGTTGATGGTTGATCCTAAAAGGCAGAAGCTAACAACATCTTCATTGTCAATTCAGAGGCTGACTGGTATATCTGTTGTCATTAATTTGGTCTTCCTTTTATTTCACTTTACCATTTTTTCACTGTGCTCTTTCTGTTATTACTACAGCTTGCTGGATCCTTATTACTAGAACCTTTGCATTTTCAGCTCTCAGAATAGTGTTGTCATCATAGCATAGGTTATTGATGTTTCTTTTTCCAGTTTAAAAACTATGCTCATCTTCTTCCAATCCATCTTCTCTTAATAATCATTCAGCATATAGATTATGTTAAATATTTAAATAATTTCTTTGGCCATAGAAGGAAAAGAATGCTTGAGTAAATGGGTCTCTGGCCTAATCTTGGAGGTCTGTCTTAGGCTCGTATCTGATAACACAAATTCCATTGAATTCTATGGAACTTAGTGGAATTGCTTTACAACTTATTATTTTTTAATAAAATATTTTAGTTTCTCTTTACATTGCTTGATGGAAGGTAAAATCTTTGATTAAAAGTAACCTGAAGCTTTATTGACCAGGATCTGGAATCAGATGAAAGTAAAGCTTGCAATATGAGGTCTTGGATAGCATGAACCCGGTTTGGGAGCAGAATAAAAAGGGTTTTGTAAGGAAGAAGCTGATAGCCATCGGTGGTGCTGAAACACCCTTTTACTGGGAAGCTATTAGAAAAAGGATGGTTGAACATCAGGCTGCCAGTGGACAGACTTGGCATGTTCCCTAAAGAGATTATAACCTGAGATAAGCAACTCATTCCCAGGTGTGAAAAGAAAAAGTTTAGCTCAGTGGTCATTTTAACATCATAGCTTAATAGTTTGTCAGCTATGTTTGTAGAGAATCATATCTTTTTGTTACCAGTTTTTTTTTTTTTTTAACTGTTGCGCTTTTAAAGCACAAAGCAGCTCTGTTTGGAAATGTTGGGTTTCCTATGCAAACTTACCCAGTTCATTAGATGAGAAGGACTAATAGTCAAAAGGTGCTGTGTATTTTACCTTTTCTTCCTTAAACAGGGAAAAACAAGAAAAGTAGGGTGAAAATGTAAGATATTTGTGTGGATGAGGACATTGTCTGGATTTCTCTATCAGATTTCTGTAAATGAGGCTAGCAGTTACATGATCAATCTTGTTCTATTACCAGGCTAAAATTATTTAAATTAGAGGATAACTTTAAAATATAAATCCTGCTCAACACAGCTTTTGCTACCCTGATATTCTGACTCTTTAGTTGAATTTCAAAATATCCTATCTTGCAAGCAATGTTTTTTGAGTTCATCTGAACATGGGTAGCTGAGACGCCCTGAATCAAAACATCTCTTGTGATTCTGAATTTAATTCCAAGTTATGCAGAATTTTGTGTTGCTCACATCTGTGACTGCCTTTTTTTAAAAAAAGGCAGCCTCAAGGGCTGACTTAGCATTTTTCTGTGTTAAATAAAGGAATAATAATTATTTAGGTTGATCTGTAAAGGAAGGCAGATGTTAGAAACGCCTGCATGTGGTCAAGCATCTTGGGTGGCTATGTGGTTTTCCATCCTCTTAATACAAAAGTAATTCTTCAGCAGATGTATTACACAAACTTAACTTAGTAGGTGACCCCGTGGCAGCAGCTTTTAACAGCCTAAGATGGAGCTAGGCGGATCTTGGCTTATTAAATGCTACTATTTAAGTGATATATTTCTGGTTAGATGGGTTAAAATGAAAGCTGTCCTATGCAGGCCTTCAAAAGAAATTATAGGACCTAATTTTCATGATTTGAAACCATTTTAGAGCTATATATTAAAATGGGTGAAAGTTCTAATGAAATCCACGTTTAAAACCCTTTCTTGACTGCATTGGTCCTTTTTAGGGTTTAACTTTTATTTATTGCTAAATATATAATCAGCTGTACCCATTAGAATGTTTTGCTTTTCTCCTTACTGACTTTTAGGACTGAATATGGAAACTTTTCGTTAATGTTAAGAATTTATGGGCTCAA